GCAGCAACGGCTGAAACTGAGTTGAACCAAAGCCAGGAGCCAAAAGTTTCTTCTGTGTCTCCATGTTTGTTCAGGGGCCCAATGATTTCAGCCTGAATTACCAGGCCACAGGAAAAGAGGTGGATGGGAAGCTGAGCAGCTGGAACATAAACCAGCGTCCATAAAGTACCCTGGTGTTTGCAATGTCAGGACTTTAGCCATTAGTTGCGCCATGTTCTCTTTCCTGTTTGTTAAAGCTTATTTATTTTTTATTAGAAAGCCAGATTGTACAAGAAAAAAAGAGATCTGTATCTTCCCTCACTAAATGGTGCACTGGCCATAGCTGAGCTAATGTGGAGCCAGGAACCAGAGCTTCCTCCTAGTCTCCCACTCAGGTGCAGGTTTGCAGGCTTTTGGGCTGTTCCTGTCTGCTCTCCCAGGCACAAGCAGGGACTGAGGGGGAGGTGGAGTAGCAGGAGCATGAACCAGTGTCCATGTGGGATGAGGTGCTTGAGGGTGGAGGATCAGCCAGTTGAGCCAATGTGCTGGACCAGTAATGTCTCCATTTTCATTTCTGATTCTACTTATCTTACTTATCTGAGCTTTTCTCAAAGCTTTTGCTTTTGGTTTGGTTTTGGTTAGTCTGGTTAAATATTTGTCTATTTTATTTAAAACCAACCTATATTTTTGTTTACTTTCACATTTCCTTCATTTCACTTTCATTTATTCTGATCTGTCTCCTCCTGCTAATCTGGGATTTGGTTTGTTCTTGTTGCTCTGTGAACAATGACCTTGGTACTTTTATTGGAATCACATTGAATCTGTAAATTGCTTGGGGCACCATGGACATTTGGATCATATTAATTCTTCTCATTCAGAATCCTGAAAGATTTTCCCCATTGTTTGTGTCTCATGTTCTTTCATTGAAGTTGTGTGACTTTCACTGTCAAGATCTTTCACATCCTTGGCTAAACTCACCCCAAGGCATTTCACTTGTTATAGCTGTTGTGAATGGGAAGACCTGGTTCACACAGGGGCTGAAGCACATGTTCTCATGTGTCTGCCTCTCAGAGATGTGAAGTTCAGCTTCCCCAGTTTCTGAGGGAGCAGGAGCGTCTCCTATCAGATCCCCCAGGAAGGATTCTGGGCTCCTGTCTGATCTGCTGCAGCCAAAAGCCTGAGGAAACCAGAGCTGGGATTGAATTATGGCAAATGTCCTCCAAATAAAAACAACTTTTCCCTGTGAATGTCTGTACCCTTTATTTATTGTCGTAAATGTTTATTCTCTTGCTTATTCAGTATTATAAATTCTTTAATAGTTCCCTATTATTTTTAGTTTTCAGTGGATGAGGCCATCCTAAGGGCACATGAGGGAGACAAAACTGCCCTCACTTGTTCCTGGGAAGTGAGCCAGTGGAAGGGAGCCTATCGTGGGTCTGTCAGTCTCCATCTGCCAAACAGACGAACATAAACTTTGACAAGAAAGACTCTGCAAGGAAAGCTCCATGGACACCTCTAAGGAAGGGTCGGGAAGAGCCCCTGGACTGGCCATCTGCTGAGAGGGGCTGCAGCCCAACTCCACTGGGACACAGAGGCCCTGACATCAGGATCCTTGTAGACCTTGTGCTCATCTGGCTGCCCCTCTGTGACCTTGGTGTACACTGCAACAAGAAGTACAATTTCTGCCTGGGGTCTGGGAGTTTTTACAGAACATGATCCAACCTGGGAGGAACACTGTGGAAAACCTCAACGTTGTAGCCACTGCAGTCAGAAGAGCAGGTGACCAAGGTGGGAGTTGAGGGCAGCTGGTTTGGGAGGTGAGGGCAGTGTCAGGGATGGGCCTGGAACCTGCGGGTTGGACACTAACTGCAGGTGTTCCTGCCAGGATTCAGGGCAGGACTGCTAGTTGGTGTCAGAGAAGCAGACACCTCCTCGGAGAGAGGAAAAGCCCCTCCCTCACTGACCCATAGAAAGAAGAATTCTGAGGGAGAGTCAGGAAGTGAACCTTGTCTCCTCTGGAGCAAACAGAAGCATTTCCGTCACACCTCAGAGCTGCTAAATGCAGGACACCCAGGCTGTCAGCATGAACAGAAGTCCTGGAGCAGGCCCAAGGTCAGGGTCAAGGGTGTGAGCTGTGCCCTCTGTGCCCAGCAGCAGGGCTGTGGTTCCCAGCTGGGACCAGCCAGGGTGAGGCCATGGATTCTGCTCCTGGCTGTGCAGCCTCAACCAGGTTCTCTGCATTTCCTCTGCCTTCATCAGCTACAGTGTGACACAGCCAAGGGAAGGGTAACTTAGCAACTCCTGGATTTCACTGTGGGTTTCAAGGCGTGAGAATCTGTGTGGGGCACCATGTGAGGCAGCAGGCTCCTGGGAAGTTTTGTGTTCTCAGCTGTGTGCTCTTCCTGAACCTTCCTCCTGCTCTGCCCCACCAGGAGAGAGGGTACTGTGTATCTCCAATGTCCTGTGTCATCAGTAACCAGCTGTGCCCTTTATTTAACCCTTACTGAGAACCATGGACATAGGTGTGAGCACTTGGCACAGGGGTGGAGATGCAACTTGGGATGCCCAATCCCATCTCAGTGCTCAGTTGGAGTCCTGGCTCTACTTTCTGCCAAATGTCCACCCAGTGCACGTTCTGGGAGGCAGCAGATGATGCATGAGGACCCCTGGACTGAGTTTGTGTTCTGGGCTTTGGCTTGCCCCACTCCCAGCTGCTTGGACTTTTGTGGAGTGAGCCAGGGGATAGCGAGTACTCTTCATTTCACAAAGATGAAAAAAAATCTTTAAATAAATAAAAATAATTTTTGACTCCTACCACATCTTGTGGTGCTCTCTGCTCAAGGGCCTTGGGCTTCCCAATTGTGGGTGACAGTGGGGTTCATCGCTAGGCTTTCAGAGAACTCAATGCACCTTTGACCTTGGCTGTGCCATGTCTGGATGTGAACACTAGGAGCTGAAACATCACAAGCTGAGACTGTCATGATTGCCCCTTCCCCCAGCTAAACAGGAAGGTGCCCAGTGTGGGTGGGTTCTCCTTGGGGATTATATAGGTGACTTGGACTTGGGACTCCCTGCCCTGCCCAGCACGTTGTTAACAGTCCTGCCCATCACAGCAGCCCCAGGACAGTCAGAGGTCAGGATGGAGGTGTGGCTCAGAAATGGGTGCATGTGTTTGCCATCTCATAAGCCGGAATACCCTGAGTGAAACCACTCTAAGCTATGCCGCATGTACCCAAGTTTCTGCCAGAGTGGCCTCTCACTGTGTAGGTCCCGGGGCCCAGGTGTGCTCATGTGACCACCCATCAGGGGAGGCTGAGGTCCAGGTGAGAATCCTGTCTCCCCTCCTGCTGCCAGATGTGACCTGGGGTGGCACTGTCAGCACTCACCTGAGCCACGCACAGATGCCCTGCACAGTCTAGACTGTCCCAGCCCTCCCTGCTCCCACGGGAACCCCTAGCACATCTGTGTCTCACATTGACCACAGCACTGCAGCTTGTCAAGCAGTGGGCTTGGTTCCCCACTGAGCTCTCCATGTCCAAGGCTTGGTGCTGTGCACACTCTCATCACAGCCACTCACTTCCTGCGTGCCCCATCTCCATTTCTGACTACAGATGTGGTCCATGTGGAGCTACCTCCCCGGGGTGTCTTCAGTACAGAGACTTACCCTCATCCCCGACTCATGGTCACTACCAACCCCACAGTGTCACTTCTCACCGATGTCCTGGCTCCTGCACTGAATGCCGGGGCAATTCCGTTGGGATCTACCCTCCCATGTCAACCCTCTCTCACAGTCATGCCATCCCCACTGACACAGCCTGAAGCCCTGGGTGTCCTCCTTGCCTCCTCCTTCTCATTCCCTTGATGCCGTCCAGAGGAAGTGCTGTGTATCCATCTGCAGAAGGATCCAGAATCTCTTTCTCTCCCACTCTGCCCATGCCCACACCCACACAGTGACTGGTATCCCTGCCTGGACACTGCAGGAGCCCCGAGGGCTTTTTCTCCAGCCTCACAGTCTCTCAGCCACATCCTCACGCAGCAGCCAGGGTGGTCCCTGGATAGGAGAAGGTGCACACATGTCCGTCCTCTGCTCAGAGCTGTCCCGTGGCTCCCACCTCACTCAGAGTCAGGGCTGAGCCTTCCAAGTGTGTTTTCTCCTGCTGGATGGTGGTGCTCTGATCCAGCATTCCTGATGGCTCCCTGCTCTGTGTGCAGACTAGTTCTTGCCAAGGGCATTTGCACTGGCCATCCCCTGCCTGCGCAGTACCTGCCTACATACTTTTGCTGGTAAGCTATTGTGTCCTTCCAACCTTCCTCAGGACAGTGCACACTGATCATGGTGGTGAGACAGCCACTGCCCCAGCCCTCACACTCACTCTGGACCAACTTGCCCTGCACTGGGTCTGGCTCACAGTAGGGTGATCTTAGTACTGAGTGTGTTGTACCTGCCCTTCCAGACCCCGTGGTTCATTAGTGGAGTTTGAGACAGAGGCCGCCTGTGGCTGCTGCAGAGCGGCATCCTGTCTTGCTGATGTCCATGCAGCCTGTGCTTTCTCACAAGTGTCCTCTGCCCTCCTGCCTCCCTCCCTCTCTGACTCCTACACACACAGGCCTGAAGGCCACCAGAGCTCACACACAGGAAGAGCAGGTGCAATCAACTAACAACACTAAGGAACAAAATGGACAGGAGAAGACGGGAGCCCAGGGCTGACCCCAAGCCTTAGCTTTGACTGTCCTGGCCTCATGCAGCCACCACTGTTTGGGTCCATGAGATAGGACAGGCTGGCCACAGCTGAGTCGTGTGATGGCAGGCATTGGTGGGCACTTCTTATTAGAGAGATCAGGACACTGGGGCAGCTGAGCCGGGTCTGCAGTGACAATGGCAAAGCCTGATGGGCTGAGCACAGCCTGGGGACAGCCCCGTCCTCATGCAGGCCTCCCAGCTTCTCCTATCCCCTCCTTTAACAGACTGAACACAGCAAACGCATGCCTTCTGGAAGGTTTATGGTGCTTCTGTTTATTTTCTCTGTCCATTTTTTGGAATTTTCTTTAAATTTTCTCACTAACACCTCTGACAAGAATGAGAAAAATGATATGTTGTTCAGATTTGCACAGGGAAGGGAAAAGCTGCAGCATGTGCACCTGACTTGAGACAGGGATGGAGGTGCCCATGCTGGGCTGGGAGGGCCAGGCTCCCACCTCACACTGTGCCCACAGGAACACACTCAGATGCCTGTGCAGGAAGGGAGGGCAGGGCTTTTTGAAGACACAGGATGAGGACTTGAGCATGGTTCTATCCCTCTGTTCCAAACAAGACAATTGTCTCACACTACAGAAAAAAAAGGTGACAAATTCAGGTCATTACACATGGGTCAGGAATAGCCAAGCACATATGAAAATGTGCAAATGCAAGGAATTCCCCAGCCCCTTTGTTTCCCTTCAAACCCACCATCTCTCCCTGCTCCAGGCCCTCCAAGTCTCACCTTTCAAGCTGTGAGAGAGCAGTCAGAGCCATGGACACTGTCCCCACCTGGGAGAACCAATCAGGACTTGGTGAGAGTCCTTGGGGTGTGACTGAGACAGGAGCTACTGGGTGGGCAGGGCAGCTTCTCCATGGCCATCAGACCATGGCAAGGACCTTGGAGACTCTTCTACCCCAAAACACACCCCAGTGCTTACCTATAGTCCTAGTGTAGCTCCCTGCTTTCCCACCTGTGAGAGAAAACAAGTAGTGAGAGGCAGGGAGAAGGCAGGGCCTGAGGACCTGCCTAGCGGAAGCCCAGAGGACTGGCTCATCTCAGAGAAGATTCCAGAACTGTATCTGGCAGACCTAGGAAAGGGTCAGGAGGTGCCTCTCTTGGAGGTGTGTCCTCACCTGGGACCTTCCCCTGACCTGGGGCTGCGGGAACTCAGGTCCCCATGAGCAGTGTCATCCCTGTGGAGTGTTCCTCCCCACCTTTACTTGTGCTTCACACCAGAGCCAGTGTGAGCACCCAGGGCCCAGCTGGGGGTGCAGGTGTGTGTGCACTGTGTTTGCTGGGAACAGGGCAGTGGTACCTTTCCCCTGGGAGACAGCAGACTCAGACCCAGCCCTCACCCTGCCCTACCTGAGAGCTTCCTCCTAATCATCACAGCAGTGACCACAGCTCCAATGAGCACAGCTGCCACGAGGACCAGGCCAGCGATGACTCCCCACATGGGCACAGTGGGCTGAGGAGGCTCTGAGAGGGGAAGGGACAATAAGGGGCTTTGACACCCTGGTCTCAGCTCCGCCCTTGCTGAAGGCTCTGCCAGTTTCTGTCCTTCTTACCCCATCTCACGGTGAGGGGCTCAGGCAGCCCCTCATGGTATACGTAGCATGTGTATCTCTGCTCCTCTCCAGAAGGCACCAGCACAGCTGCCCACTTCTGGAAGGTTCCATCCCCTGCAGGCCTGGTCTCCACCAGCTCTGTGTCCTGGGTCAGGTCCTCCCCATCTCGCTGCCAGGTGAGTGTGATGTCCTTGGGGTAGAAGCCGAGGGCCCAGCACCTCAGGGTGGCCTTCTGGTCAGAGACTGGGTGGTGGGTCACATGTGCTGTGGGTGGGTCTGAGGGAAGATTTGGAAAATTCAGACCTTTCATGTTCTTCACCTGACACTAAATTTACACTCAGTGACCATCCTGAGAGTGGACAGGAGGACAGGGGTGGGGAAGCAGTGCTAACTCAGACCTGGCCTGGATAAAGACAATGGGATCATCTGTTGTCTGCAAAGATGTAGACAAAGAACCAGGTATGGTTCAGGCTGGGAGGACCCGGGTCTCTAAAGGGTTGAAATGGATTCGGTCTTGTCCTGAGTGGAGGCAGAGACTGAGAACCCTGAATCTTCCCAGTGCATTGGCTTGAGGTTGGGGACAGGCCTGGGAGGGGTCACAGCTCACAGGATCCAGAGGGAGTCCAGGGTACCAAGAGGATTCCTTTCAGAATTTTCTATGCCTGCATAATTCAGATTGCTCTTCCACCTGTGGAAAGTGTGGGTCTCTTTCTCTGGACCCAAAACCCTGGAGGACATCCCTGCTGCAGCCACGAGGAGAGCTGGACACAGGCCTGGGTCTCACTTTCTTCCCCTCCTCCACAGTCCAGAGGCAGCCCTGGGGTTGTTGGTGAGGGCAATCCCTACCTGCCCTGCGCACCTGTGCGCTGTAGTGTCTCCTGCCCCAACTCCAGGAATCTGCGCAGCCACTTTACACACTCCCCCTCCAGGTAGGCCCTGTGCTGCTCAGCCACATCCGCAGCCTCCCACTTGGACTTGGTGAGCTGAGCTTGCTTGTCCGCAGCGGTCCAGGTGCGCAGGTCGTCATTGAGGACAATGTAGTCGGTGCCATCATAGGCGGATTGCATGTACCCGCGGAGGAAGCGCCCATCTGCCCCGACCTTGCAGCCGTACACGTTCTGGATTGTGTGAGAGCCTGTCCCCGCCCATGGTCAGCCCTGGCCAGGCAGCTCCTCCCCCACCCTGACTGACCCGCGGGGATTTCCACTGAAACCGAAAATGCAACCTGTGCGTGTCCCGCGGCTCCTCCCGCCGAGGGTCTCCGCGGGCCGCGCAGTCTCAGGGTGGGGGGACCTCGGCCCCGGGCCCCTGAGCGCCCTGGGCGCACGTGGGGAGGGGTAGGGTCACTCACCGGCCTTGCTCTGATTGTAGCGGCCAGGCAGGGTGTTTAGGTCCATGCAGAAAATCTGTGTGGTGCTCTTAGCGAGCCGTGTGTGCCTGGCCAAGTACTCTGGCTCCACCTGCTGCATCCAAGGCGCCCGCGTTTCCACACTGGGGTTCTGGGCGTCGCTGTCGAAGCGCACGACCTGCGTGTCGTCCACGTAGCCCACGGAGATGAAGCGGGGCTCCCCGAGGCCGGGTCGGGACACGCCGGTGCTGAAATATCTCATGGAGTGGGAGCCTGAGGGAGAGAGGGGCTGAGACCCGGATTGACGCCCAACAGGAGTGGGATGCTGGGATCTTAAGTTCGCTGGGGGTGGCAGGGCAGTGTCCTTGGGGTTGCTAAACAGTAAAGGGTTAGTGGGGAAGGGTCTGGCGAGGGAGAGGGAGGGACAGCAGGCCCAACGTGGAGACAGCTTTCCTGGAGGCGTCTCCCTGGTGTCCTGTGTCACCTCCATGGGTTCTTTCCTTCTGGCCCCACAGAGTCCATCTCCCTCATGAGCTTTACTCACCTGTTTCAATCAGGGCCAGGGCTCCTGGGAACAGCAGGAGGAGGGTGCGGGGCACCATGGACCCCATCCTGGACTTCGGAGGAGACTCTGACTCAGGATCCTCCGTGCCAATTTTATAACCAGTTTGAGGCGGGGCTGATTGGCTCCTCTGGAAGTCGCTCGCCCAATGGGAGTGAGAAGCGTGCTCACCTCAGGAGTGTCCAGGAAGAAGGAGCTCAGGATGTGAGATGGGAAGTGACACTGTGAGCACTGGGCACCTGCTGCTTTAGAATCCTGACCTCTGCCTCTGTCCATACCTCCTTTCAGCCTCCCCCCTGTCATTTTTTCTTCTCCCTGTGGTCCCCCTACCCCATCTCAGACCTGAACCAGAGCACTAGCAGGGCCCCTCTCCTGCTACCCAAGGAAGCTGTTCCCACTGTGGTCAGCTGCCTTGCTGATGTGCGTCAGGGGGCTCATTGCTTCATGAAAACAGCTCAGCGGCAGCCTTTGCTGTGGTGCTGCGAGATAAGTACCACTTGTAAGGTCAACATCACACATCCTAGGTTATTTGGAGTCTAGGCTGTTCTGCTTGCACCCACCTTCTTGTTGATGTACCTGGGAAGGCAGCAGAAAATCCCCAAGGGATTTCTCACTCACTGGTTCTGTCCCCAAAGTCCACTATGTCCTGGGCTGAAGACAGAAGCCCACAGCTCCATCTAGGCCTCCATGTGGATGCAGGGACCCAAGCACCAGGTCCATGTTCCCCTGCTTTCCAGGTGGGCGAGCAGTGAGCAGGGCAGTCAGGAGTCACACAGGTGCTCTCATCTGGGGTGCTTGGATTGCAGGTGGCAGCTTACCCTGCCCAGTGCCACAGTGCCTTCCCTGACACTGCCTTTCATGTAAATAAACAAAAAGCAAAAAATGCACCTTTCCATGACCCACTCTGCTGGCTGCATCTCACTTTAGGGAAACCTCTAGAATGTAGGGCCCATAAGCATAGAGACTTAGGCTGTTGGTCAAAGCTGCAACTCCAGCACATAGAGTCATCTTTGCTGACGTAGGTACTCAATTAATTCAAAGACCTGAACAAGATTATATTGGGGTCTAATTGTCTCATGTGACAATCATAAAATAAATAGTGCAGCAAACATTGGAGAAGGTTTTGTCTCATGGGAGGAGTGTTCACGAGAGTTCACGAATCCCTCCAGCAAGGATGACACTTCCTGGGGTGTCAGGTGCACACTGGGACCCAGGTATTGCTAGCTTTCCATTCCTGCATCACAGGTTACCACACCTGGGTGCTCAGAACCACACTCCTTCCTTGTTCATTTCATGTCAGACTCCAGGCCTGGTGTGGCCTTGCTCTCTGGGCAGGCTCTCACAGAGCTGAGTTGGTGTCTTGGTGTTGGAGTCCTCCTCCAGCCTCCTTGGAGCTTGGGGCAGAGTCCAGCTCCGTGCAGGTGGAGGCCTGGAGTCCTGTTTGTGGGACAGCTGTCAGGGTGCAGGGGGAAGCTTCTCCCAGCCCCAGGGCGCCACCTTCTCTGCCCCAGGGTCCTCCAGAGTCAGGGGCTTGCTGGAGAGAGGGGCATGTGTTACACTGAACCCCTCCCAAGCTGAGTCCCTCTCTTTAACTTGGTCACAATTCCTCTAACTCCCCTACTCCTGTGTACAGATTCAAGGTTTATTTTTTTTTAAATTTCCAGCTCCCACATGAAGGTGAACATGAGGTATTTGTTTTATTTTTTGGCTCATTTTACTCAGCATGATGTCCTTCAGTTCCAGCCATGTTGATGCAAATGACAAGACATCACTCTATCACTCCTTTTTTAATAAAATCATTTTTTATTACAAAGTCAGATATACAGAGAGGAGGAGAGACAGAGAGGAACACCTTCTATCTGATGGTTCACTCCCCAAGTGACCACAACAGTGGAGCTGTGTCATCCCGAAGCCAGGAGCCAGGAATTTCTTCCAAGTCTCCCATGTGGGTGCAGAATCCTAAGACTTAGGGCTGTCCTCGAATGCTTTCCCAGGCCATAAGCAGGGAGCTGGATGGAAAGCTGGGCTGCTGGGATAGAACCGGCACACATATGGCATCCTGGTGTGTTCAAGGTGAAGACTTATCCACTAGGCCACTGCTCCCTGACCAAGGCATCACTCTTTGTATAGGTGAACAGTATTCCATTGTGGTGCATACTGTATTTTCTCCATCCTTTCATCTGACGATGGATATCTTAGTTGATTTCACATCTTGACCATTGTGAGCAGTGCTGCTGTACGCTGTGGAGCTTTCCACTGTGACACAATCAGTCATGTCTTTTGTTGTGTGCCCAGGAGTACGATTGCTGGTTCATGTGGAAACTGCTGTTAAAAGATTTTGAAAAATCCCCAAACTGTTTTCCATCATGGTTGTCCTAATTTATGATCCCAACAGCATTGTATACGATTTCCCCTTTCTTCATATCTTGCTTGCGTTTGTTAAAAACCAGACTAAGCCCAATCCGATCAAACAAAACCATACCAGCCAGTCAAGGTAAGATATTGGCAAAAGACCTAATAGGCAGTTCTTGAAAGAACTAGAAATGACCCCTACATGGAAAATGTTTAACAGGATCAGCTGTCAGGGGAATGCAAACCAAACCCCCAAGGAGATGTCCCCTGGCCCTGTCAGAATGGCCCTTACTGAGTGAGAGTGACAGCCATGTGTATCTGCACGCAGGGAGAACGCAGTCCTTTGAAAGGCTCCCAGAAAGGACAGACCAACCCAGAGTAACCCCTGTCTCAGGGCCAGCTGATGGAGACCTTCAATTCATTTTTAAAATCATTTCCCAGTGGCATCTACATCAGCAGTTGATTGAATACAGGGCTGTGTGCAACTACCCAGGCCACTATAGGATCAGGCTGCCTGGCTTTCCATTCCTTGGACATTCGAGTGAATTCAGGTTGAAAATGCAAGGTCAGATAGATTCTTTTGAACAGTAATGACTGCTTTTTTTTACCCTTTGGCTAAATTCAAGTGTCGAACAGTGATGAAATGCACCCTGATGAAGCATGACCATTCTTATATCTTGAAGCCAACGGACATGTTTATCATATTTATTCCTATTAGAGTCACTAAATTGCAATAACTCAGGCTCTTTGGAAGCTATTTTATTTATTATGGCACATAACAAATTTTCCATAATTTAGTACCTGGAAGCAAGAAATAAACAAATGTTTATTGTCTTCCACTCTCATGTAGAACTGTTCATGTGTTTATTTTCATCTACTTGGTACTGCTTCTGCTGCTCCTCTCCCAGATGCCACAGCAGCTGGAGCTGGGCCAGGCAGGAGTCAGGGGCTCAGGATACGGCCCAGGCTCCCTGGTGGGTGCAGGGTTCCCGGTCTCCAAGCAGGAAGCTGGGTCCCAAGTGGAGCAGCCAGGAGGCAAATGGGGCTCTGAGGTGAGATTGGGAGTCCCAAAGGGAGCGGATCACACTTCTACCCTCTGCCTGCCAGGCCCCTGGTTTCTGGCAGGGAGTTTGACTGAGGCTTCTGCTCAGACTGTCCCAGTGGAGCTAAGAGCCAGGGCTGCCCCATCTGAGGCTGGGCAGGCAGGGCTCCCCTGTGGCGCCCTCTGGTGGCTGGTGGGTGGAAGAGGCCTCGGGTCCTTTCTTCAGGGCTGTGTGTGCCAAGGCAGAATTTGTTTCTAGATCTGGTGCAGGAATGAAAAAGAAGGGGGGATATCTATCTGTCTATCTATCTATCTATCTATCTATCTATCTATCTATCTATCTATCTAAGAAAGAGAGAGAGAAACGTCCTGAACCAGAATCCATGCTAGGCTAGCCTCACACTCAGAATTTGTACTTGAAGTCCCAAGTATTCTGATCTACACACACACATAATTATTGCATGTGTTTCTGGACTCTGTAGCATTATAATGTATGTGTGGAGTGTGTACTGATCCATATGGTCAATTATGATTTCCATGTCCTTTTCATTACATTATCTTCTCTTTATGTTTTGTAGATTTATTTCTGTATTGGAAAGGCAGAGTTACACAGGGAGAGTGAGAGCTGCACAGGCTGACACTGACTAGGCCAGAGTCAGGAGCCTGAGCCTTCATCCAGCTCTCCCCCGTGGGTGACAGGAATCTAAGCACTTGGGCATCTTCCATTACTTTCTGTGACACAGCAGGAAGCTGGATGAGAAATGGAGCAGCCGGGACTCGTAGTGGTGCCCATATGAGATGAGTCCTGGGAGCTCTGCCTGCTGCCCCACAGTGCTAGCCCTGTTTGCTTGTTTAGTATCCACATAAAAGGGTGAACAGAGACATCTGTGTTCCACGTCTGACTTCATTTAGCATAAATGTCTTTCAGCTCTATCCATTATGTTGCAAATGATATTATTCATTTTGACTAAGACTTCTTTGTTTGAAAGAGTTACAGAGAGAGAGAGAGAGAGAGAGAGAGAGAAGAGGAAGAGAGGAGAGGAGGGTAAGAGAGATACATTGTTTCATCTTTTGCTCACTTCCCAAAGAGCTGCATGGCAGGAGCAGGGCCGGTCTGACGCTAGGAGCCAGCAGCTTCTTCCAGGTCTCCCACATTAGTGCAGCACCCCAATCACATCGGTCATCTCCCACTGCCTTCCCAGGAGTATTAGCAGGGAGCTGGATCAAAAGCAGAGGATCCGGGACACAAAGTAGCACCTGAATAGGATACCAGCATCATAGGCAGAGGCTTTACCCACTGCACAAACTGGGCGCTTATCTCTCATCTTTTGATAATAATCCATCAAGCTGCATGAATTGATATCTTATTGCTATTCTCCTCTTCCTCAGATTAGTAGGTTATTTTGTCATTTGAATATTAGAAATAAATCTTATAATGTGGATCCTGGATTTGTCACTGGACATCTCTGAGACCTGATTTTTTTTAAAGATTTATTTTTATTATTATTTTTTTTATTGGAAAGGCAGATATACAGAGAGGAGAGACAGAGAGGAAGATCTTCCGTCCAATGATTCACTCCCCAAGTGAGCGCAACGGCCGATGCTATGCCGATCTGAAGCCAGGAGCCTCTTCCGGGTCTCCCACGCGGGTGCAG